ATGTGAAACCTCTGCCCTGCCTCCAACCACTTAGCCGCCCTGCTATTTATATCTCAAATGGTTGCTGCCACCATCTCCCCTCACTTCTACCCTTCTATCTCATCCATCAGCACATCTTTCCGTCTCTTTTTCTTCTCCCCGCTGACTCTAGATTTTCACCAAATTAATTCACCTCGGTATCATCTTCCTCCTCAAAGCTGCTCCTCTATCTTTAGCCCTGAACTCCCTCCCTGTTTGTCCTCTGTTACAGCAGATATCATGTCACTGAAGTTGACCAAGTGATTTATCGTTTCGTGAATATTTCATGATGACAAACAGCAACTCCGCTTCGATAAGAATAACTTCTTTTAAGTGTAGGTAATGGACAGAAAGGGGGTGTACTTGACTCTGCTGCTCTTCAGCCCAATGGTAGAAATTCTGACTTATTTCTGGTTTTCTAAGACATCTATAGATTAGCTTGATACTTTGAAAAGTCAGAGAACTGTGAATTTGACCGCGTGGTGGCGCACTCTGTGGCCTGTGGGAGGGTGAACCATGGGTGGCCACACACCTCCCGACATCCTCCCTTGATACTTTAAAAGTCAGAGAACCACAATTTTGACCAGAGCTAATGCCAAGGTATTCGCCAGAGCTCCTGCCCAGCACGGTGAGACCTTTTGGGCCACAGGGGGCACCGGCAGCCAGTCAAAATTATGGCAACAGGGAGCGCCGGCACCCAGTCAAAATTACGGCTGGGTGCCGGCACTCCCTCTGGCCCAAAAGGTCTCACTGTGCTGGGCAGGAGCTTTGGCGAATGCCTTGGCATTAGCCCTGGAGCATCCTGCTAGCCAGCCTTTCAAATCACCGGCTTGTTTCTGAAATCAATCGGTAGTTTAAGTCAGATCGGGTAGGTAGCAATAGTACTGTCTAACTGCCGCAAAATGCACTGAAATATAAAGAGAGGAAGTGACGTACCTGTCACACATACGCAGTACAAATCGGGTTTCAGGGCCGGATCGGGTAGCGACAACAGTGCTACTGACCGCTTGTATTTGGGAGCCTCGATGGAAGCTCTTCATAGATGGACCGGCTCCAGATTTCATTAACAAATCCGGCTCACACTGGTCTTTGTTTACGAAGGTGTCATCAATGATGTAGTGAGCCTTTCACAGGGATAATAGAGTTTACCTTGATGATGTAGTGAGCAGTGAGTGGTATCCCTATCCTTCAGAAGGCCACAGCTGTGAAGGAAAGTCACAGCTCTGAGGGGAACTTTTAAAAAGACTCTTAATGAAAGAAGTAGAGGAACAGACGAGACTCTGCAGCTTCTAGGTGACCGTATCTTGGGCTGCCGGCTGATGCGAATCATGGTTGTTAAATGGTTAAAATGAATGTTCATTTCCACTGCTGGGTTAATCCCCCTTTTATTAGTACAACTGCTCATTTACTCTATACGTTGTAAGAAAATGGCTCTTCCAGTACAGATTGATTTTTTACACTTGAGTTAATTTTTGTATTTATAGAAAGTCAATTGCTGCCAACAGTTAGAGAAGCTTTGGGCGACACATTAGAGAAAAGCCGCTAATCTCTGTCTATACATAGAAATTCATTATTGAAGACTGTAACACAAGAGTTAGCCAAACTGGCAGTGCATATGTTTATTTTAAAAGACTTTAAAAGCTGGTTTTAACAAAGGACACGGGAAGGACTGCATGGAAAGTCTTGTCTAGGTGACAAATCTCTTGGTTCCAAAGTGATGAGACTGAACAAATCCATCAAACTACCAAACAATCGAGTAGGTGTCGCTCCGGCGTAAACACAACTTACCTGGTTTAAATAAAAAGTTGGACCAAAAGTAAAGGGGATGGGAGTCAGGTGGGATGATGCTTAATCTGTTGCATCAATCACTTGGAAGTTCTGATAAACACAGATGCATTCTAGTTATTTACTTTGCGTTTCTGTGCAGATCCAAAATCGGATTTTACTGGAACATTCCGCAATCAACTGCAAGGTTTTGCTCCTTCCTCGTGAGGAGTATTCTGCCTTCTACAAGCCCCATGCTTGGCTAACAAAAGCACCTGTAGTTAAAGTTTGACCCAAAGCCATGACCACTGCAGGTGCACTCTCATTTTTCTCCCTCTCTCTCCCTTCCTTCCTTCAAGACTCTGAGACTTGGCGAGCCGGCACAGTAGTTGTTCCAGTCGTATAAATTTGGAACAATAACACTGCTTGTCTCTTAATTTATCACCACTTTCTCGGGCTCTGACATTTCCTGGCAGATCCAGAGTCGAGTGTGTTGTGGAAAATGAAGTTTCTGCACATTTAACTGCTGTAGCCGAACCAAGCAAAGGGAAATGTAGTTTATTATCTCTTCTTCTTCTTCTCCCTCTCTCATAAAGTAACTGCAGATAGATTGGATTAAATGGTTATGGATCATTTTATGCTGCTTTGTAATGAATATGGCCACCCGAATGAAATTAACCTTTTTGAGGCCAATCGGCTTCCAGAGGCTCCAGATGGCCGAGGAAGATTCATATCACTGTGAGCCCTCTCAGTCTCAGCTCAGTCTCAGTCAAGCAGTGTGGTTTTTACACTTTCCTTTCACTGCCTCACCTAAAACGATCCTTCAGCAGGTCTGGGATCACAGTCACTCTGTTCTCCAATCAGTCTTATTTACTGAACAGACGCTTGTGAGTGATCCAGACCTGAGAGGAGAGTGAGCCACGTCAGAACCCTCAGGAGTAATCATTCAGTTTTCCTCTCTTTCTTTCTTTTTTCCTGTCTTTGATTTTTCCTTGCTTTGTTTCTTTCTTTCTTTCTTCCTGTGTTTGATTTTTTCTTCCTTTCTTTCTGTTTTATTTCTTTTTGACGTTCTTTTTTCCTTTTTCTTTATTTCTGACTTTCTTCCTTTCTTTGTCTCTCTTTCTTCCTTTCTCCTTTTTCTTTCATCCTTTCATTCATTTTTTGCTTTCTTTATTGTTTTCTGCCTTTTTTCTTTGTCTCTTTTTCTTTTTTTAATTTTTCCCTTTTTTCTCTCTCTTTTTTCTCTCTTTCTTTCAATTTTCTGTCTTTAGTCCCTAACTTATTTTGCAACTTTTGCTTTTGTCTTTCTTTTTTCTTCCTGTGTTTGATTTTTCCTTTTTTTCTTTCTTTCTTAACTTCTTTCTTTCTTCCTGTTTGATTTTTTTCTTCCTTTCTTTCTCTTTAACTTCTTTCTTCCTTTCTCTTTTTCTCTTTTTTTCTTCATTTCTGCCTTTTTCTTTCTGTCTGTCTTTTTTTTCTTACTTTCTCCTTTTTCTTTCTTTTTTCAATCTTTTTTCTTTCTTTCTTTTTCCCTTCCTTTTTTCTTTATTTGTGCCTTTTTTTCTTGTTTTTCTTTCTTACTTTCTTTCACCTTTTTTCCCTTTAATTTTCTCTCTTTAGTCCCTAACTTAGTTTGCCTCTTTTCTGCACACTCCTTTTTATTTCCTTTTTTTGCTTTTTTCCTTTTCTCTTCCGTTTTTCTCTTTTTCTTTTATTCTTCAATTCCTCCTCATTCATTTTCCTTTTTCCTTTCATTCTTTTCCCTTCATTTTTCCACTTTCTTCCCCTTCTTTTCTTTTTTCTTTTCTTTCTTTAGCAGTACACCAGCTCCCTTAATCTTCATTTCATTAAATATTCACCCCCACAACACCGGTCAGCTCCTTCTCCTGATCTTTGCACGGTACATTTATTATACTGAGACCCATAATCAATCCTCCTGCACCTGAACCCAAAAAGAAGTCCACTGTTCTGATTTGAAGGCTGCACAGACTTGTGATTTGTGGACACAGTGAAGGATAATAATTACTGAATGATTGAACAAAGATAACATACTGCATAAAAATAATCAGTTCTTGCAAAAACAGTCCTTGTGAGTCCAGCGTGTCCTTGTATTTTTCTAACACACTTTGTGGTTTTGCCCATAAACGGTCCCTGATGGGTTCTTTGAACAAAACAGCAAAATCCAAAAAGTGAAACTTTCCCATTTTGGTTTGCAGTGAAGAAAATTGTTTAGCGTAATTGCGTCATTATTCTTTTCCCAGATTTGCCCGAATAGGTCCAATAAAAATAATGTTGGAAGGTATCACTGTGGGTTTCGTAGCTGTAGGTATTTTGAGCTGCGTTTCCTTTTTTTTTTCGTTCTGTGGAGGATATAACATTCCAGCAGATAAACTGGCTTGTCAGATAGCTTATCAAAGCAAAAAACGCATCCACTGTAATTGAGATAAGCTCCCCTACCGCGAGTATTCCCTCCAGTTATACACCCACCGAACCGGGCTGAATGAAAACAGCTCGCACACAAAGACGTAGATGGGTAGACACACACACACACACACACACACACACACACACACACACACACACACACACACACACACACACACACACACACACACACACACACACACACACACACACACACACACACACACACACACAAACAAACAGGGTTGTGTGCAGCAGTTTTATTTCACCCGGAGCAGATTTAGGCTGCACTTGACTAAACGCAGCACTCAAGACACTGGAGTGATGCTGGCCCACTCAGCTCTTTTTACCTCCCGTAGTCATCTGCTGTTATATATGCCTCTGTGTTTGTGCACTTTTGTGTGTTTGCAGTGGCTGAACGAGCAAAAGAGATATGAAAGATCTCCTACATTGGTTTCTCTCACTCCTGCCAGAGGGGAAAGGTGCGATGGCTGTTTTTGTTTTATCCATGCCTGATAACAGTACAGTGACGGTGTTGTCCTGAAGGCAAGAGCTTGTGTTTCCTAGAGTTTATGGCGTACGATGCTGCTAAAAACTGATGGTGTGGTGTGGATGTAGCCAGAACAAAATGACGATGTAGATTGACGGATCAGGACAGCTTTCCCCTTTCCTGCATTTTTGGATGCAGAAACGTTAGGAATGTTCAAAGACAGTGTTTTTGGAAGTGATTTTGAGCCTCTGTTGCCGACCGCTTGCTTCTCTAGTTTTACCAACTCTAGTAACGACCGAATTTGTTGAGCTATGTGCTCACACGGTCTCTCACAGGGTGATGAAGCCAGGTCAAATAAAAAAGTTTCTGCTAAAGTTTAGGATAATGTTGTGATGATTTGTTTTCCAGCCAGGCCTCACTGTGAGCTTTTGAGAGTCCAATTAAAACATATTACAATCCAGGATTTTGCAAAGCTGTCAAGTCTCAGCTCTTTGTTTGGCATCTGATCTCCATTTCCACATGCAAATCACTCACACGCACAGATTAATAAGTCACAACGGCTACTCTGGATGCATCCAGCTCCCTTTGTGTCAGCACTTTGCTTACTAAGCAGCCCTTGGTCTTTAGGAATTAATGAAAACTAATGAAGTGTCTGAAAGTGTCGCCTGGTTTTTATTTCAAGCGCCGGAAGCCCAAAATCCTACAGTATTACCATCATGTTAAGTGTTTTAATGGCACTTAGATTAAAGGACAGATCACACAGGCTGAACTTTAAACACAGTCCCTATCAAGGGGAGACGGCTACTTCACATTTAATCTGATTTTCAGTCCTGATCAAACATTCTCTAGTGTCTACATTTTGTCGAAGTTTTAGACCTAGTTTGGAGAAATTAAAAGCTGGGGTAGGCAGGATTCCATTAAAGAAGCATCTTTTTTGTGGTATATAGACAAAAAAGCCATAGTCATAGCTATTAGTTATTGATGACATTTGGTAATATAATGATATCGCTGTGTTTTGTTATGTCTGTGTAGTCAACATTTAAAAATTTTGAGAGGCCCGCCCTTTCTGACTGTAAACAAAGCCACTCTCCACCTCCCCCAACCTTACTGGTTGTGAGGCAGACGCTGCTCCCCCGTGTCGTTCACGAGCCCAAACAAAGTTAACGCGCGACAATACCGGACAGTAGAAACCAACCAGAAAGTATGAAAAATTTTCTGAATCCTCCTTTGGCCACGACTGTCAACACAAGCAAGAAAACAAAGTAAATACCGGAGACCCTGGCGGCATAACAGGCGCTTAAAATGGAGGTAGACCACCTAGACAAGAGCTAAAAAGCCGGGTCAACATCAGCATAAACGATGGGGGACACTTTGGGGTCATACGGACCCTGTAACCTTTCTGCTGGACAGGTAAACCGCTTTAACAAAGTAAGACAAGTGTCTGTAACAGAAGTGTTTCTTGCCAAACGGACCTGCTGTAGCGTGTTGTAGCGCCGCTAAACTGTTTACCTCGGGTCCTGGGCTATGTCACTTTATCCTAGTTGTAGAAGTCCTGTAATGTTGATTGCTCACTGAGTATTGATAATAAATTGCTAATAGTCAATGTTTCAATCCTATAACTTTTTAAAACTGATTTTATGTCAATTTTAGTGTCTCGGTTCAGGACTGAAATAAGGTCACAGCTTGAACACTTTGTGCATACTACTTGACTTTGATGCCGTTCAACCTCGTTGGTTTCACGACCTCCCAGAATGTCAGCAGATGGAAGCAGGAAGACACTGCGGCAGCTTGACTACGATGAGCTGAATGGGACAAAATAGCTATAACACATTATTTCCAGACCTTGATTACACACTGATTAAGGCTGGTTTTAGGCCAAGCTCCTAGCTTTCGCGTCATATTAACCTGATGTACTTAAAAGCTATATCAATCTCCTCGCCACAACCAGAAGACAGATTGTCCTGGTTTAAAAGCTCCCTGACAGAGGAGCATCGGGACTTCTCTTAACATACTGTACCATGATTTGTGTTGATAAATAGACTGAACTGTTGCCAACGCCTCCATTTGACCATATCAGTATTCCCGCCGCGGTCACTTCTCCTTCAGCCTCTGAGTGTAGAAACAACATTGGGACCGGCATGTGAATGAAATATCCACCTTTTCACATGCGACAGTACCATCGGCACGAATCCTTTTGTCTTCCGGCTTGTTTAAACATAATGCGACTTTGTCTGCTGCCACGGCTCAAATATGAAGCGGGCGCTCCTCTGACGTTGAGTGATTGTCCCGTCTTCATATCTGTCAGGCAGCACAGCCGTAGATTCATCACAACTCTCGGGGCTTTGTTCCGCTGGAGCTTGGCACGCTCTCTGCCTTTGGATTGGAGTGTCTGTGTTTGTTCCAGATCGAAAATTAGAGATCAGACTGAGGCATTTCTGCACCTGTATCCCCTTCACATCTCATCTCATCTCTCCGGCTTTCTCTCTCTTTGCCTCCCAGACGCACTTACTAGGTTTCATTTGCATGCGCCAAGTTAAAACTGCGCCGGGGTGCATTTTTCATGTATGTAAAAATGCACCTGTGTCAGGATTTGGAAGTACCAGCTCAGTCGTCTGCATGTCAGTGTTTGTGAGTCTCATTAGTTCTGTGAATAACTCATTATCTGGCCCCCTGAGTCTCCAGTTTTAACACGAACCTTATCCAAAGTTCGTGTCTTTGAGCAGGATGCCTCACCTTCACCTGCCGCCTTAAACCATCACGATGTGTTTGAGCAGCAGCTGGCAGGTGTGAACGAGTCAGACTGTGTGAATGTGAAGATGAGCATCACGAACACTGACTCAGCTCAGCTCAAAAGGCACTGTTTGGTCTTATGTGTGCTCACCTTGGTGTGAAACGAGCGTGGAGTATGTTTGGTTTTTTTAACTCATTCATCAAGATACAACAAGGACTAATGCTGCGTTTCAGGACCTTAAGAGTTTTACTTGCATTTGCATAATTAGGAGTGTGGCTAAGTTGATTGATATGGCTCAAGGATGTCCAGTTGATAATCCCTTTTAGACATTTTAGTATTTTGTTCATTTTTGTTAATAAAAGCCTCGACCTAAATGTCTCAATTGACAGAAGCCAATTGAGTAAACTTGAAGTGAATGCTGAGTTTGGTTTAAAAGAGACATAAGCTGTCCTTTGACTCCATAAGAGGACCCTGGAGGGATCCCCTCCTAGAGAAATGATGAAGCTTCAGTTTGCCTTGCCCTCTGAAAAACATAACACGGAGTGGCTCTTGAATTCAAGTGTTCTTTGGGACTTTAAATGCATTTTAAACGCTTTTCACGTCGTTGAATTAATGACCGTTCCTCAAGAGTCCAGGCACATCCCCACATGTGGAGGAAGGGGAGGCGGGGAGTGTGACTGCTGCCATCTGCGGTGTTTCGGTCTCATATTTTCTGCTCTCCAGAGGCAGCAGTCAATTATTCTGCTCCTGGTTTTTGAAGCAAACCGACTGTCACCACAGGTGGTGACATCGACCTCTGACCCCTTAAGGGGGGAGAAGCCAGGGCGAGGCTGTCAAACAGGAGGAGACCTTGTGGACTACGGTACATAAAGAAAGCAGAAGGGAGGCTAAGATAGGACCGGCACCAAATTAGGAGGGCTTTAATGTTGGTGTTTGTTAGATTTTTCAATTTGTCCCACTATTTCACTCATATTTAAGAATCACTCTGGGCCTGCTCCACCGGCAGCAGATAAGAAGCTTAAACTGTGAACACAAAGTTTTTACACATAAATGGGATTAATTTCATCAATGTGAGCAGACAAAGGAAATCTGAGCTCTTTATGTCCTCTGAAACTCACCAACGGGTAACACTCACTTTGTCTACCCCCATTTTTTCCTATTAGCCACTTGTACGTCCCTGATGAGACACACTTTTGCCGTTTTCTTTCATGTGGTCTTGGACTATGGCGAAGTACTCAGTGTGGGTGGCGCTTAGTCTAGAGTTTGGGCTAGGTCCTGAACCCCATTTAGGAAAAGGGTTAGGGTTTGGTCTAGGACAAGGTTAAGGACTAAGATCAGGATAGAGCCAGGGCCTGTGTGTGGCATCTGTTTGGAAAAGGTCTAGACATAAGGTTGGGTTTGGTCCTTTACACGGGTTAAAACAGGACTAGGGTTCAAATTGATCAAGGACAATGGACTGATATATGTTTGGAGTGAGTACTCGGCCTAGGACAAGGGCTAGAATAAGACTAGGGTAGGGTTTAGTCTAGGACCATAATTAGTTTCAGGCCTTGTCTAGGATTACAATAAGGAATGGGGTTGGGATTTCGGTTTTTGACAAAGGCAAGGTGTTTTGAGTGCGGCCAGGTCAAGTTCAGGAAAAAGGTCAGGGTTGAGGTTTGGTCTCAATGGCAAGAATTAGACTGGGGCTGGACTTGGTCTGGAACTACAGTTAAGACTTACTTAGGGTTGGTTTTAGTTCAGGTCTAAACAAAGGAATATGGTTGTGATTCAGGTGGTCTAGGACTATCTTTATGAATAAAAATGGGGCGTGTGTATGGTAATGGGTAAAGCAATTTGGTTGGGATTTGAGATCATCTGGGACAAGGTCAAGAATTCACCTTGGGCTTGGTCTAGGACTAAGATTAGGATTAGGGTTGGTGTTTGGGTTTGGTCAAGAGCCATAACAAAGAATAATACCAGGGTTGAACTCGATCTCGGACTATGGTTGGGTTTTTGGTTAGGTGATGGGGTATGGTAACTATTTAAGGTGTTGTTGTAGGGGGTCTGTCAGGGTTAACGTTTACACATAGGCCGGTTTTAGATGGTTATGGTCCAGGTCAAGTTAGGACTTGGTTTTGATATAATAGGAAGTCTAAAACCCTCAAATTTAGACCTGTAAAGCCAGTAAGATAAGTTTCTAAGAGCTTCTTAACAGTGCCCTGCGGGACCAGACTGTATGGCTAGATTTCTTTTCTCCGGTCTTACAGCTGATTTAAATCTGTTTTTTTCTGGAATGTAAAAGCAAGAATGAATCATTCCTAATTGGCTGTGAAGCAGCAGCGGGTACTTCAATTAATAATTAACTTTAAATGTCTGTGTCTTCGCAAAAACAACACTATCAATATTTTCTGTCCAATAACAGTGATATTAAAATACTATACCACAGAGAATAGTAGGAATGAACATTATATTTCAAAGTGTATCCAAAAAGCAGATACTTCGTCTTGAAAAACACGGGCCTCGTGTGGGTTCTCGGAATTAATACTTAATGTCAATCAATAATTAATACCCTCATTGGCTCAGTGTGATAGTTGTGGATACAGCCGTAATTTTACAGAACCACAGAGTGCTCTTTGGCCTCATGACTCATTGAAAAAGTTCAACTTTGAGAAAGTTGTACTTATAAATATTAGTATTTGGAATATTTTGGGAGTACAAATAAGAGACCGTCGGTTCGATGTGTTAAAAAATTGAGTTTGAAGACTTGGTTTTGTGGTCTATGGTGCCCATAAATAACTCCCTTTAAATGCATAACGAGTGAAGAAAGGTCACTGTATTTGTAGGTAAATGAGAATCGCTCCGAGGGATTCAGTTTTTTTTGTCAAATGTATTGATCGTGGCTGGTTTCTGTCTGGACCTGTGTTTGTCTATAACCCAGAAATAGTAGAATAGATGAGAACACATGATGGTGGATGAATGGTGTTTGTGTTGAGCCTGTGTATCTTGGAGCGTCCAAAATGAGAATGAATGATGGCAGCAGAATGATTGGACATCGCTGGTGTTTTGTTTTCATTTGCTCTAATCAATTTCAGGGCCAAGTTTCCACTCGCACACACACACATACACTCACATACACACACACACTTGTTTACCAATGGAAATGTCACATTAATTTTGCCAACCATTAGTTATAAGACGTCTCACCGAGAAACGATGAAACATTTGAACTACTGTGAATGAACGGATGACAGTTTTAACAGGCAAATAAATAAGACAAGTTAGAGAGAATCAATTTTGGCATTTTGATAGATCTGCTGAAAACATTTCCTGGATATTGTTGCTGAATGAGGCCGACAGCAAAGTTCACAAGGCACTGAAACTGAAATTAAAGAGAAATTTTATTGCAGGGAGGAGAACAAATGGCATTTGAGTCCACATTTCCTGTATGGAATAGTACGGCACTATAACTTAGTGATGTGCATGTAGTATTAGAACTTAGTGTTATGCTTAGAGACGCTGCACCTGGATAAACTAACTGACACGCTCAAAAAGTTGCCTCTTGTGAATAAAAGCCAGAATCAAATAGTCCTGCATCATTTTTTAAATTCTTCCTAAATACAAGTGATTACTGTAAAAGTTACAGTCTGGAAGAACAATGTAGTGTGAAAATAGTGTTCTCTGTTATATCATATCAATAATGTCTCATATATCATATCAAACATATTACAATTTTGTGGTCTTAAGGTAAAAAAACAGAGACACTGACAACAACATTTTGTCATGATATCATATCAGACAAAATCATTTCATATCAAATTCCGTCAGTCATGTAATGTCACATAAAATTTAACAAAATCATTTTCTATCATAATTTATCATCTGATATCATGTCATAGCACACATCATATCAATCTCAAATCGTTCTAAACATCATATTATGATATATCATATCATATAATTACATATATTATTATATATGTTATATTATCATACCTTATTAAATCATATAATATACTAAATTTTATCATATAATATATCATAGCATATCACATATTACATTATATTATATTACATTATATTATTTTATATTATATTATATCATTTATCATATATATCATACCATATCATATCATATATTATATAAAAGCTTATACCATAATTTCATATCATATTATATACTATATCAACGTATATCATATTATTTAATATTCCATATCATATATGATATTATATTTTGATATATTATATTATAACTTATCATAGCATATCATTTCATATCATTACATATTACATCATATTGTATCATATTATATCATATTGTGTATTATATCAAATCGATCAAATCATATACCATATGATACCACAACAGTGCATTAATTTTGTAAAACTTTATGCTCTGATATCTGAACTTGCGAGTACTTCACACTTTGGGTCACAATATATTGTATGGTACTGTTTTACAGCACAGCATAGGTTAGGGTATCCTAATGTATAGTTTAGTATCAAACTGTATTTTAGAGGATCATATTTGATTGTAGAGTATCTTATTTCATCTTAGAGTATAAACTAGTATAATTGAGTTTTGTATTTATTCTATATTTTATTGTATTGTATTGCAGCTTATTCTATTATATTCAATCCTATTGCGCATAAAACCAGTAAAACCTTTACTTGACAGTCACCCTGTTATGTAATAAAAGTATAAAGTACTACACATTCTATGATGGCCATATATTGACCTGAATTTAAAAAAAAAATCCAACTACATGAATAAAATACTGAAAACAGATTGTGTGCTTTGGGAAAATGGCAGGTAGTGATGCACATAACTCTTCGGTAATGGGTTAGGACACGTAAAAAGCAGCCGTATGAGAGCATCCAGTCCATTAACCTTCAGTGGTTTTAGACGCCAACAGGAAAAGGAGCCGCTGACACACTCTGAGGGAAAAGCAGTGAGGGGTAGAGGTGGTTATGGAGTAAATTAACCTGACACACACTGTTGTCAGCTCTCGTATTAAGAATAAAAGCCTCAGTGTGGCACACAGGCGCTGTTAGGATCAGATGTCACAACTTTATTAAGTCAGAGCCAGCTGGAAATGAAAATGTTTGACCTAAAAAATTGAATTGTCCTCTTTGAGAAGGGGACAAAACTAGATCTGTGGTAGCACACTGAACCGCCGGATAATTTCCCAATAAAGACGGCGATGAATCCTGTTCTTTTCAATCAAACATCCTCACCTTGGTATCGCATGAGCTCTGTGGGAAAATGAGAAAATAAAGGTATCCTGTAGAGAAGAAAATAACATCCAGAGAGCGCTGTCAGCCGGCTGTCTCATCATAACTCACGACTGAATTACACTTACTCTCACATCATTGGGTGACAGCTGGAGATCCGATTGAGATACACCTGAGAGAGGGTTCGAAAAGTTATCCGAGAACCTGCAGAGTGACATTCACAAAGACACGAGAACTTATCTGAGGAAATCTGAGATTAGATATGGACTGTTGTATCTGCAACACGTGTCCAAATGATCATGCAACTGAAGGTGTTGAGAGGAGAGCAAGGATGGGAGCAAGAGGAGGAGATGTGTGTGTGTCTGAAAAGCCAAAGGACAGCATAAGTATGACAAGAGAGAGGCTTTTAAGAACTCAATAGTTTTTTTAAATGAAACTTAGCACAGCAAAAGTACCAAAACTCTCAAACAGATGGAAACTGACATATAAGAAAAAGAGAGAATATTTTGCAATAAAACTTTCCTCAGATGGGACGTTCCTGGGCCTGAAGTCTCTCCTTTCAAGAGCTCAGCTCCCCCTCTGTAGACCTCGGCTGGAGTCTGGAGCAGATAAAAGACCCCTGCCAGTGAGAGCAGAGCCTCACAAGGGGATCCGACAGAGATCTGAGGATAACTCTGAGGCTTTGTAAGAAATTAAAAGAACACTGAAGTCTGCACTAAAACATGCATGAAGCCAGCGTGAGGACGTCAAAACAGGCTTTCCGGTTAGGATATTGAGATGGTTTCTGTAACACAAAGAGCAGCATGAGGTGGAGAGTCGGATCAAAGTCAAAATGATTAAACTGGATTATAAATCGGTTTTAAAGAGTTCCTAAATAAGCAAAGATGCATTTGTTAGGGTGGGAAGAAATGGATCTGAACAAAGTTAAAAAGGTAACCCATATCAACTCTGCTCCCTCTTGACCTGTTGGATCTTGGACTTGTTTATTAAAGTAAATTTCTGGGCACAAAAACGGATGTCCGAGGTCATGGTCCTCAGTCGGAAAAAGGTAGATTGCCTTCTCCAGGTCGGAGGGCAGGTCCTGCCTCAAGTGGAGGAGTTCAAGGGTCTCTGGATCTTGTTCACGAGTGAGGGTAGGATGGAGCGGGAGATTGATAGGCGGATCAGAGCGGCGTCAGCAGTGATACAGACGCTTCACCGATCAGTTGTGGTGAAGAAAGAGCTGAGCCGTAAGGTGAGACTCTTGATTTACCGGTCGATCTATGTGCCGATCCTCACCTATGGCCATGAACTTTGGGTAATGACCGAAAGAACAAGATCGCAGATACAAGCGGCCAAAATGGGTTTCCTTCACAGGGTGGCCGGGCTCATCCTTGGAGATAGGGTAAAGAGCTCGGACACTTGGGAGGCGCTCAGAGTAGAACCGCTGCTCCTCTACGTCTAGAGGAGTCAGCTGAGGTGGCTCAGGCATCTGGTTAGGATGCCTTCTGGACGCCTCCCGTTAGAGGTGTTCCGGACATGTCCCACCGGGAGGAGATCTCTTGGCCGACCCAGGACCAGGTGGAGGGATTATATCTCTCGCCTGGCCTGGGAATTCCCCCCAGAGGAGCTGGTGGAAGGGCCGTCTGGGCTTCCCTTCTGAAGCTGCTGCCCCCACGACCAAGCCCCAGATGAAGCGGAAGAAAGCAACAACGAAAAATGGATGTGGAACAGCGGTTAAAAAGAGGGTTGTGGATCTGTCATGGTTGTGGATCTGCTGGCTCTACAGCTCTGCAGACACGTACTATTGGAACTGGGAGGAAAACTTCTACCACCTTCCCCAACCCAAGCTTCTGCTGCCTTTAAAGGATTATGCGCCGCTTTATATGTACCGAAAAAGGCCCAAAATCCCTCAAAATTGGGCCCTTAAATTCAGGACGCAGTTATCTATGAAAAGAAATGAAGTTTAAATGCAGATTTCAAGTTGAACACTTCAGCGCATGAGTGTTTTGGTCGGCAGCCTTTAAAAAGGAGAAATGACTTTCTGCCACGTCCCTCCGGTATGTCAGATCCAAAGGAAAGAATCTGATTTTTGTGAGCGAGTGTGTGTCATGTTTTTGTATCTGCACAATGTCCAAAGAACACAAAGAAAGCCTGGATAAAGACAGGATGAGTCAGTCGATGTCCAGCTCAAAGAAAAAGACGGTTCAATGGAGAGAAAATCACCGCGCTGGGATGCAATTTGACTCAAAAGCAACATTTCTGGGTTTGATTTTCAAGGTCTTTTCTGTTCCTGTGAAGTCTCCTTGGTAACGGAGAGAAAGAGGAACTCCTCAGCTGAGATGTCAGTAATTATTCATGATCAGTGTGATCACACAATTTTCAGTTTCCTTTCAAGATGTTCAATGGGCTCATTTTGGTTAATAGTACACGGGAACATCTGACTAATCAGACACAAATTTCTGCTTCCTTTCATCGGTGACTTTTTGTGCCGAGAGTGTGATTCGAACCACAGTCACATTATCCCAGGAACAGTCAGGTGTGCTTCATAATCTCCAACAACAATGTTCCAGTTTGTCTAAATGAGTTTCAGACAAGTGATCAGAGACTGGAATAAATCACTCATGGGATGAGAGGGAGGGGTGTGAATTCTCTCGGCTGTAGCAGCTGCAGCTAGCGTTTCATTTTCATATAGAGCGAATCAGGACAGAACGCCAAGCTAACCAACAAGCACCAGTGAAAGAATCATCAAAGTGATTGTTGTTGATTCTCAAAACCACAAATATGACAATTCTTATGAGAGTGGAAACAACCTAAAAATAGTGCCAACTGGAACCTTTTCAGTAAAGAAAGCATAAAATTGTTCCCTCTAGAATCCTTTCTCGTCAATGCCCTCTGGAAGCTCTTTTCCTATTTGTTAAAAAAAGTGCCCTCTGGAACTATTTTTAGTATTGAAAAGATAGAATCAGTCACTCTGGAATCCCTTTCAGTCAATAAAAAAGTTTTTAAAAAGTGCCCTCTGGATGCTCTTTAACTTTTTAGGCTGTTAAAGGGCCCTCTGGATGCCCTTAAACTATTTCAGCTAGTAAAGTGCCCTCTAGATGCCCTAAAACAAGCTTTTAATAAAGTGCCCTCTGGATTGTCTTTATGTAAAAAGTGCCCTCTGGATATTCTCACCACAAAAAGTGCCCTCTGGATGCCCTTTAACTATTTCGGCTAGTAAAAAAGTGCCCTCTAGATGCCCACAAACTAGCTTTTAATAAAGTGCCCTCTGGATATTTATAAACTATTCAAGCTGTTCAAAAAGTGCCCTCTGGATGCTCTTTAACTTGTTGTGCTGTTAAAGTGCCCCCTGGATGCCCTTTAACTATTTGAACTGTTAAAAAGTGCTGTCAAAAAATTCCAGTCCCTCTGGAATCTCTTCTAGTCAATAAAGCTATTCAAGCTGTTTAAAAAGTGCTCTCTGGATGCCATTTGGCTAGTTTAAAAAAAAAATTGCCCTCTGGATTGTCTTGATGTAAAAAGTGCCCTTTGGATGCCCTGTAACTATTTAAGCCGTTAAAAAGTGCTCTCTGGATATTTCTAATATGAAAAGTCCCCTCTCAATGTCTTTGCTGTAGATACAATACGTATAAGTGATCTCTGGATGTCCTTGTAAGAATGCAAAGTATCTCATGAATGCCTGTCCAGTATTGAAATCTTTAACAACCTTGAAATAGTGCTTTGTAATAGAGTTTTTGCAGTATCGTATATCAAATATAGATAACTTCAAATGGTTCCCTCTGGATAAGAAAGTAAGAGAGTGTCCTTTAACTTTGTTAGGTATAAAAAAAGTACCCATTTTAATGGTCTTTTAGGTAATATAGAGTTCCCTTTGGGTGCCCTAGCAGTGGAAATTAAATGAGTAAGTGTCTTGTGAATGTCCTTTGAGTAAAATGTTGGTTATAAAGTTATTTTTAAATGTCTTAGTTCAAGTTTGATTATATGCCCTTTGGGTAAATAAGCCTTATATCCAGCGCATGTTTTTAAATTAGTTATGAAAAGTTGTAGATTAATCTTGTTCCCAGGATAGATTTCAGTTTCCAAAACTGTGCAAAAAAAGGTTCAAAATAACTCAAAGAGTAGCGAACACTCAAAGTGTTAGTTTACTTAGAATATCAGCGTTTGATCACTTCCAGATTAAACTGGATCCTCCAGGGTTTAGACCGATGCATAGCATAAAAGACGAATCTGAGCCAAAGACTTAAGAGTAATCCTCGGTTAAACGCCTTGAGTTATGACTTCACACTTCTGCACAGATTTGTTTAAGCAGAGAGATCAGTCACGGCAGTATAGACAGATTAAGACGGTACATGCCCCAGGCAACAAGTTGACAGCCTGTCTTTGTAACAAGCCTGACTGTGACGAAATGTGCTGACTGATGAATGTAAAGCGCGCTGACAGAAACACACACCACACTCAGCATCGATGCAAAGTGGTAATGACTTATTACTGATGTAAGGAGCACAAGTAAAACAGGTGCGATGATTTTTTCCCCCTCCCCCGCTCTCTCTAACCATGTATGACCCAGTGGGGTTTCGCACTAATTGATGCACGTAGAAGAGCATTTGTCAGCTTCCTGCATCACTAATTGGCACTAATGTAATTAGTCAGAGGAGTCTCACACACACACACGCTCATCGTGCTAATAAGCCTTGAACATCCGTGCAAACAAGATAGGTGACATGAATAGATTCACACAGATTCACACTCAAACATGCGGTCCAAGAACCAGCCGGGTGACATACCTGAGAGTATTTTTCCTGGCTCAGACGTCGCCGAAGCGCTGAGTCACAGATGTACCTGTCCTGGCCGCAGACATCAACACACCAACGCTGTCTCTCTGCATGTTTGCCAACACTCAAGGCGTCAGTTTCAGTCTCTCAGACGCGTTGACAGATTTAGGTAAAACCTCGCGCTCCAACTTCAGGGTAAAAAGAGAGACAAACATGTGAAGACTGTTAAAGTTTATTATGTTTATGTAGTTTTTAAAGAGGAGAAAACAGGAAGGTAAAACTACACGTTTTAATGAATTTGATTAAGTTTGAAAAAATAAACTTTTAATCAGTCCCTCTGGAATCCCCCCAGCCAATAAAGAAGTTATAAAAAGGGCCCTCTGGATGCTCATTAACTATTCAAGCTGATAAAAAAGTTCCCTCTAGGAAGGTAAAAATACACGTTTGAATTAATTTGATTAAGTTTGGAAAATAAACTTTTTATTAAAGAGCTTTGAAATACAATCAGCCGATCACCTTATTTAAACAAAAAAACTTAAATCTAAAAAATAAAAATAAAAACTTTGAAATGATCATTCTAGCTTTTCTTCTATTTAATATTATTAAACAACTTTTAATTTTTAATCAATTTTTTTCTCTCTTCCCTCCTGTCTTTCTTCCTTCCACCTCTCTCCTTCTTCCTTTCCTTGTCCTCCTTCCTTCCACTCCTCTCCTTCTTCCTTTCCTTTCCTCATCCTTCCTTTCCTTATTTAATATTCTTCTTTCTTTCTTTCTTACCTTCCTTCAACCTTCTCCTTTTCCTTCCTTCCTTTCCCCTTCTCCTTTTTCCTTCCTTTCACCCCTCTCCTTCTTTCTTTCTTCCCTCTTCCTACATTCCTTTCCTTCACCCCCTCCTTCTTCCCTCCTTCCTTCTTTCTTTCCTTCCTTCCTTTCCCCTTCTCCTTTTTCCTTCCTTTCACCCCTCTCCTTCTTTCTTTCTTCCCTCTTCCTACATTCCTTTCCTTCACCCCCTCCTTCTTCCCTCCTTACTTCTTTCTTTTCTTCCTTTCACCCTTCTCCTTTTTCATTCTCTCTTCCTACCTTTCCTTTTCAACCTTCCTACCTTCTATTTTCTCTCTTCCCTCTTCCTTCCCTCTACCCCGTCCTTCCTTCCTTCATTCTTTCTTTCCTTCCTTTCACTCCTCTCCTTCTTCCTCTCCTATTCCCCTTCCTTCTTTCCTTTTATCTTTTTCCTTTCTTTCCTCTTTTCTTTCCTCTTTCTTTCCACCCTTCTCCTTTTCCTTTCCTTTTCCCCCTTCCTTCCTTTTATTTTCTTTATCTTTTCTTTCCTCTACCTTCCTTCCTTCCTTCTTTCCCTTCTTCCACCCCTCTCCTTCTTCCCTCCTTTCCTTTTCCCCCTTCCTTCCTTTCTTCCTATTTTTCTTTTTCCTTTCTTTCCTCTTCCTTCTTTCCTTCCTTCTACTCCTCTCCTTCTTCCTTCCTTCCTTTTCTTTATTTTTCCTATCTTCCGGCTCTTTCTTTCTTAGAGAACATCTCCTAAATTCAAGAATCAGAACCAGTTTGATCGGGTTTTAATGTAAACCCCAGAAACTTCTCTCCTCTCTCTCCAGCCGTTTTATCACCCTTCCTCCCCCTCTCCCTCCTCCTCTTCCTCCTCCTCCTCATCTATAATCCTCTGTAGATGAGTGTGGTAAATGGAGGATAAAACAGGTTTCAATTAAAGGCATCAGAATTCTAGTCACATCGTCCCTGAGCGGCTACTGAGTTAGATAGGGGATCAAGGCAGGCACACACACACATACACACACACACGCACACACACGTGAACACACACACTCACACACACACACACGCAAACGCACACACACACACACACGTGAACACACACACTCACACACACACACTCACACACCCACAGACCCAGAGGCTGTTCGCTGGAAGCATTGCATTGCACTCGTCCAGATTTAAATGTGTGTCATTTCTCTGGATGATTGTAATCAGTGTCAGTCTGAAAACTGACCGTTGTGTGGGTTGTGTGGGTTGTGTAGGTTGTGTGTGTATGTTTTTGTGGAGTCTATGTTTGGGAGAAATCAGCACGTTATGAATGACTGGCGTAGACTCTTTGTGAAGGGACAGGAAGCAGCTCTTGGACGATTTTGATTGCTGTTGTCTGTTCGTCTCTCTGTAACCTCTAAGAATGTGTGTAGGTGGGAACAGTGTGTAATAAATTTGTATGCTTTAATTCCGGGAGCGTTTTGCATCACAAATATCCGCTTTTTATAAATCACTCGTTATCCAGATGTCAAAAAATAGAGAAATCCTCATTTATGATTCCCCGAACACCCAAAAATAAACCCTCTGTTTGTTAACTTTTGTCTGGCAATCAAAAATGTCACAGAGAAAACTACCAAAAAATCCAAAACAATTACCTTTGGAAGCTGATGCCAATGAGCGGTTAGATTTGTCTGACATATAAAGCTCAAACAAATTAAACTCACAGCTGCCGTCGAATCAACAAACACTACACTCATCTTCTAATGAGAGACAGAAATACAATTTCTATTTAAAGCTCCAGTGAGGAGTTTTTGGATGTTTGTGAAATTAACCAAAATTCAAACTGAAGCCTTTTTATGATGAACTAAAGCAAACAAAACCATCAGGGTCAAGACAAGTGATTTTTATAGAGCAGTTTTTAATGCCTGACAAGGGTGCAAGGGGGTATGTGTTGGCTGTTTTTACATTTTCAACTTCAAAGAATCACGATAAATTATACATTTAAGTTTCAAAAGTCAAAAGGGTTCGATTTTGGGAGAACACGCTGTTAGGGCATGTAGATAAGCAAAGACTACTTTGTCCACAGGGGGTGCCAAACTGACACGAAACAAAAGTTGCTTTAAGCTGATAATTATCACAATTAAATTTCAGGTAAAATGAAGCATCTAGATTTTGACACACATTCTTTCGGCTGCCGGCAAAACCACCTGAAAATTAAATTATTACAAAAACATCGGACGCTAGCCATTCGTGCAATAATACAATAGCTGTTGTTGCATTTCCTGATGGTGTATTACTTAGCTTCCGGATTTCATAACAGTTTAGGCGCTAATCTGGCTTGAACTGGCCTTTGTATCCTGTTTCACAGCTTAATGGGGTAATTTTTAACACAGCTTTGTATTAACAAAACCACCTGAAAGTTAAATTATTACGAAAACATTGGAGGCTAGCCATTTGCGCTATTACACATTAGCCGTTGTTACATTCCCTGATGGTGCAGTACTGGGCTTCTAGGTATAGTAACGGTTAAGGCGCAAATCTGTCTTTGTATCTTGTTTTACAGCTTAATAGGGTTACATTTTACACAGGTTTGTGTTAACAAAACCACCTAAAAGTTAAATTATTACGAAAACATTGGAGGCTAGCCATTCGTCTTGTTATATATTGGCCGTTGTTTAACCCCCTGATGGTGTGTAACTTAACTTGAGGGTTTAGTAACAGTTCAGACACGAGTCCGGCTAGGGTTAGGGTTAGTTTACTTACTTTTTACACGGTTCTGTAGTCAGTAAAATTACTCAAAGGTTATGTCATTAAAAGATATGTCTGAGGCATTCCCAAACCAAACCAAAAGAACAGCTTTGAGTAACTTTCTCAGAGTCAACAACCTGCATTTTTACATGTTTCCAATAGTCCCAACACTCTCATGGTCTTTTCTAATTTGCTTATAAATCTCCTGAACTCCCAGCAAAAACAACAACATGGCATTTTAAAAAGGACATCGTTGTTCAGTTTCAAATGACAGATGAAAATGTGAAGAATCTCCTCGTGGAGGAGTGTTTGCATGACAATGTGTAACCTTTTGTGAAGACAAACTGTGTTTGAAAGTCTCACCATCTATTTTGTTTTATGAGGACATTCGCATAATTCCGGCTTTAAAAAGCAGAGTAAAAGAGCCGGACTGGCGGCCGTAATAGCGTCCCAAAGTGTGCTTCACTTTCATAACAGCAGTCCCTGAAGTGTAGGCTAGATGTCACCAATTTCAAATAGTAAACCCCTCATTTTGGAGTGAAACTCTGTACGCGGGTCATGTGGCTAAAAATAAAACTATCTCCTGGGCAATCTTGAGAGAAAAGTGCATAGAGGGAGGAGGGAAAACTGAGACATCGGGGAGCAATTGAGACATAAGAGGAGTGAGGGGAGAGAGAGAGAGCGAGGCTATTTATGTTGCTTCTCTGAAAGGTGAGTCATCCCGCGGCTCTTATTCCCCAAAAGAAAATGGACGAGGCAAAAAAGGCAGGGGCTAAAAAGGGAGGCTATCAAGAGTTTAAAAAGCTCCGGGGAAAGAACATTCAGGTATTTTTACGAGCTGATGTGTCAAGAATTTCGTCACAGGCCGCTCTGCACGAGCAGGTGTAATCGTAGTAAAAAGTATTATAATAAAACTAGGAGCCTCTAAACGTTGAATATATATGAGCTTTCATTATTCTTAAAGCAGTCTTTCACCCAAACGCCTGAGTTCATCTCCCAAAATTACATTTGCGACAAGATGTTTATCTTGGACACGCTGACTGATGAAAATTGATTTTATCCCCCTGTCAGATTTTGGCTGATGACAGGGCTCATACAGTTCAAATTAAAAGTCAAACGCCATAATTCTGAGTGTTTTCTTTGAGACGTATAGTGTAGCTTGTCTTTATGATCATGTTACATACAGAAACAGGGTCAGGCAAATAGCTGGAGATGACTTACCGGTTTAAACTCTTATACAAAGCACGTTATTGTTGTTTCATAGTTATCGCCTGATCTACAGAAGTCTGATGAAATCGCAAAGTAATCTGGTCACACCCTTTCTGAACACAATCCTCAATAATCTGCAGGATTTACTTTGTACCAAAGACATAACTCTTAGGAAAACAAGAGAAATTTTAGTCCTTTTTCAGATGAAATAAGATCAAAACGGAGTCTCTCTCTTCTCCTCTGTCTTGCTCCTGCGCTCTTGTCCCTGGACTGGACTTTTGTCTTCTTGACTAATGCAGTATTGTCAGGTCAGCATGGCTCTGTGACCGGGTCATTTCTTATCAGGGGAGCGGTGGAGGTGTAACATTAAATTCTGCTGGTATCAAGTTGTTGCAAACGTGTTTCTATTACAAAGAGGATCAGACAAGTTTCTGGTCTTTATTGAAAAAATGTGAGGACTTCTGATCTCATAAGTTTGATGAATTATGTTTTAATAATATCACATGAACAATCAGCTGGTTGGCCATGTTGGATATACCGGTGAATCTGACATCGCAACAACACGAAATCTGATTGGTCAGAAGTGGACACACAGTATGTGAAACTTTAGAAAATTTGAATGTGATACGAAAAAATAAATGCCGCAATATCGCAGGACAGGAAAACGTCACTGATGTGAACGCTTGTATTGACAGGATACAGGTTCGAAAAAAATATTGATGCCCGAAACAATCGCACGAAAAAAAAAGCTCCCGATATGTAAGGACCTTAAGTCTGAGTTTATTGCTAGTTTTTGACGGACAAATGTAGCATCTATTGTAATTTTTCATGCAGACCTGGTAAAAACAGGACTGTTCGATCAGCTGCTAGGACAACACCTCCACCTACTCTCCAGTTTCAGTCACCAAAAAACACTTTGTTTATCTTGAAAACGCATCAATATAAATTTCAGTCCATATATTTCTTGTCAAAAACTCTTTTGTGGAGCTTTAATGTGTCCTTTTTAATTGTTGTTTTAAATCAAAGTGAATGTCTGTTTAAAACATGTTTTTTTTTCTTTCTTAAAAAGCGGGGTTGCTGATATTTGTGTCGATGTGTCAAGTTTTGCAGACTTTTAGTCATAAACCAAGGAAAGTGGAACCATTTTTAATAGACTTGATGTTATCAGTGAAAATGTGATGCCAAATTGTTGAAGGCCAAATTTGTTGGCAATCCGCCCAGTTGTTGTAAAAGTGTAACTCGTAGAAAAATTATAATTTAGTCAAGTACCAAGGAAGTCATACACAGAGCGACCCGTTGGTAGCGTGACAAAAACCACCTGCAAGCGACTGAATAATGGAGTATTTCTGTCCTGATGATGAGTGACAGTCTGGGGTCTGACTGGGGCCAAAGTAATGCTCAGACGCAATTAATGTCACTCCGTTTCAAAAGAACAAAACGGATATTTGCTGTCTTCTTGTTGGGGTTATTTAGTCGCAGAAAATGAATTACTTTTTTCTATTTCGGGAGAATATTCTCAAAGATCATTTTGTTTCCTGTAGGAACCAAAAAAAAAGGGGGGGATCAGGTGTGTACAACAACAGTTAAATGGCTTTTTAACGCACCCACGAGCAAACATCGGCATCTCTGGGGGAGCAATTTTCTGCTTGGCAACAACAGATGGAAATAGGTTTTTACTTTTCTGCGCAGAGACACATGAATAATCTATCCTTTTATATATGCAAATCTATATTTTAGTCGGCAAACATGTGTCACACATGACAGAACTGAATTTTTAATTGAAGCTGACAATGTTGGGCTTTGATTGATTACACTAATTTGCATGGTCACGTTTCATTCATTAGCGTGGGGGTCCTTACAGATTTATTAAAATGCAGAAGCTCGATAATCTATATGTAACATTGGTCGTGGTTTTTATTCATGAGACAAGTAATGCAGATAAAAACAGGGACCCTCACTGAGATAGCACATGAAGTCTGAAACTTTAGATATGACATGTTGTGATCATTTCGTGGTTAAGTTCGTTACATAATCATGTTTCTCTATAATTGTGGGGACCCCTGTTGACATGATAAATTATGAGGACCCTCACAAACATGATGCGCTGAGGGGATCCTCACCGACACAATGCATTACCAGGGCTTAACAGTTTGACATGGGTCGGGAATAACAAATATACATTCATGTTTCTGCATAATTGTGGGGACCCTCATTTACATAATGCTTTTTGAGGACTCTTTCTGACATGATGCGCTGAGGGGACTGTCATTAATGTAGTGCATAATCATAACTCAACAATCTGATAAGGGTCAGTAATTTCTTCATTACATTTTTCATGCTTACACACATATTCTAGTTTCTCGGGTTTCATGGGTTTATGATGTGCAAGATTAATCACCCTTAAAACACACATATTTTGTTTCTCTACTCTTGTGGGGACCCTTGTTGACATGAAACATTTTGGGAACCTTCACTGACACGTGACTCGCCAAAGCTGGACAAAATAGCTGACATGGGTTGGCAATTCCTTCATCACACTTGCAGACCCATTCTCACGTTCCTCTATTAACATGGGGACCCTCATTTAGTTTAAATATATTTGGTACCCTTGCTGGTATCAGGGCTTGACACTAACTTTTTTTCACAAGAAGCACACAAAGAACTTTAGGGGCACAATGAAAATTGATCAAATAATGATTGTCTTATTGGTCGACATAAGTACTATTGTTTGAAATCAATTTTAGGTCAACTGGTCACATGACATGGAAGCTACCCAATCAGCAGTTTTTGATCTAAAAAAGTTCTAATAGACGTATAAATGTAGCCTAGATGACTGGTCTAAAATCGGGCAACCACAGGTCTAAAAGTGAAAGTTTTCAGACAAAGTTTTTAGACTAGCCAGCTAACAGAGGTCTACCAGTATATTGCTCAACGGCTATCACAATTATTTTGGTGAAGTACTTGGAGATCAGTTATGCGACTCACAGTTACTTTTTGAAATAAATACTTACTGAATAGCAGGTTAAAGTGCAACGTCTAAATTCCGTCTACAGATACAGAATCTAGACAGTTGAAATTTGGTCTAAAAAATAACTGAACGTCTAATAGCCATCTATTGCTCAGTGGATATTGAAGGAAAACAGCCTTTTCTGAGAACATCAACTGGTACTTTATTGATGGTCCCTTATTCAACACCCGACGTTGACAGCGAGGATGCCGAGTAGATTTTACTGCGCTGCTGTCGCTATTCCTGGTTATGGAGAGTGAGAAGACAATGTTAGATCTGCTGTGAATGTTTGTCGAATATCCAACCTAAAACTAACTTCACCACGTGACAAAACATTTGTTGCCTCGGCTGATTATTTTTTATGCACACATGTGCCCCTAAATACATCGTACAATTTGCACACATCTATTTTTTGTCGCAAATGCGAGTGAAACGGTCGTACTGTCGAGTCCTGGGTATAATGCGTAGAAAGAACCATCATCGACACAATAATTCTCAAAGCTGAAAAATCTATTTCTGGCATTTCTAGTCAAATCTATCAAGCGTACACATAGAAACTCATGTTTTACTATATCTGTGAGAACAGCTATTTCCATGATACATTTTGGAGACAATCATCGGCATTATTAATGATAATTTATCAGCTGGATTTATGGTGCCTACAAATAAATGCTTCTAGACTTTTCAGGGTATAATTCATTAATGAGGCTGTACTGTGTAGCTACACCTTCCATCTTACTCAGACAGACTGGATGAGGGGGCGGTGGACTAACTCTTTTTCTTGGTCGAGGCACACCTCACCTTTACAGTCACAGGGTTTGAACTTGAAAGCTCGAACTACACCTCTAATGAGGAAAAATGCCTGTTTCCTCCAATTTAAACCGTATCGATCGCGCTTTATTCCAGGCCCACATCGGTGTAACTGGACATTTTTTACTTGTAAAATTAAGCCTTGCTGTTCAAACACACCTTTGAACAAGTGAATACATACGCTTTGTCCATTTTTCTCAGCAACAGATCCTCAGTGTCTGCAGGCTAGAGAGAAGGGTGAAAACAGACCTGACTCCCTCTGCATGGTGCAAACAGTAGAGTATGACTCATCCAAACACACCTCTTAGTGGTGGATTGATTTGTGAGTATTCGGGGAGGAAAAAGGCTTCACCAGGCAGTGCCATGATGGCTATCTTCTGGGTATATAGTCTATTATTCTCCCATGTCGTTCGGCTTGACCCTCTAAGAGCTTCCATGTTCCCGATCTGTGATCCCCTTTGACTGTTGCCGGTTCAGAGTCTTAACCCAAACACAAGTCCATTTCATTCTCATTCTCCATCCGTCACCTCTGTTTTCTCCCCCTTAATTCGCCACTCCTGCTCCGGCTTCATAAAAACTAACCGGGTCAGCAGTTCTGCTCCTCCACCCTGAAGCTGTCCTGCTTCACCACAGACACACCTGACTTGCATGCACACACGTATACATGCGGTGGTTTCCAAATTGCATGAGCCATGACAAAGCACTCTGAAGGTGAACCATTTGTTTAGATCATTTTCATTTCATTAGAGAAGTGGGTTGTTGTTCTCTTTCTCCTTCATTGACTTTTACAACGAGAGAGACTGAGAAAGAGAGAAAATGCCCTTGCACAGTCTCAGCACTGAATGTAAACCAATTAGTTCTGCAAGAGTTGGTTATGGACCAAATATGATTGGCTGTTTATGCCACGGTTGTAAATCAATTATTCAATCAGGCCACATTTTGTCATTGGCACTAAGCGGCCTTCTGGCAGGACCGCAGGCAGACTGTGACAAAAGATGCAGGCATGAATAAAGTGAACAAATGTGTCAAATATTTACACAGTGGGAGCTGATTTGTGCTTCCTCTCCACTTTCCCATAACTTCTACTTTGAGTATTTTTATGACCAACCTGTTTTAGTTTATTCAACAATTGTTTTGTGGGTGTTCTTGGAAAGCTGGTGGAAATTTTTAAATATATTCTTGTGATATATTTGCATAAAATAAAAGTTGAATAAATGAGTATAAAGTTTTTTCACAGACTCTAATTTCCAGACAGGCCTTTCGTATTATGTATAGAGATTCTGCTTTTTATTGTAACGATCACAGGTTTATAACGGTTAAATACTCTGCTTGTCTGTCAATAAAATGCAGAGAATTGGGGCCACTGGAAAAAAAGAGATCCAGGACAAAAAATGTCAGAATTCTAAATCAAAAAAAGAATTCTGAAAAAAAAGGCAGAATACTGAGATGAAAGTTAAAATTCTGATTCTAATTTCTCAGAATTACGACTTTTTTTCTCAGAGTTCTGACTTTTTTTTCTCAGAAGTCTGACTTTTACTTTGGAATTCTTGCATTTCTCAGAATTTTGACTTTTTTCTAAGAATTCTTTTTTTCCACCATAGAATTCTGACTTTTTTTCTTAGAATTATGACTTTTATCTCAGAATTCTAGCTTTTTTGTAATAATTCTGACTGTGATCTCAAAATTCTGACTTTTTTTCTCAGAATTCTGACACTTTTTTGGAATTCTGACTTTTGTCTTAGAATTCTTTTTTCCCCTTAGAATTCTGACTTTTTTTCCTCACAATTTTGACTTTTATCTCAGAATTCTGGCTTTTTGTTGTTGTTTTTTAGAATTCTGACATTTTTCTTCAAAACCTTTTTTCCTTAGAAATCAAACTTTTTTTTCTTCCCTTAGAATTCTGACCTTTTTTTTGTGGCCCCAATCTTTTTCTGTAGTTTCTGGAGAGTAAAAACATC